GGACACCCTTCGTCGATGGGAAACCAGCGGGGTTCCCACAGCCCCACCTATCGCAACATCACCACCGGACAGCCAGCCCGTCCATCGACCGGAACCCAGTGGGATTCGGCTCTCGCTCCCGAGGGCGTACGACGGCACCCCTGCCGGGTGTCAGGGGTTCCTCTTACAAGTGGAGCTCTACCTTGCCACCATACACCCGGCGCCCTCGGGATACGAGAGCGTTTCCGCCCTCATCTCCTGTCTCACCGGCAAGGCGTTGGAGTGGGCCAACGCCGAATGGAGGGGAATAGACGCCGCCACAGTCACCTATGCGGAGTTCTCCCGCCGCTTCCGTGCAGTCTTCGACCATCCACCAGAGGGGAAGGCGGCGGGGGAGCGTCTATTCCACCTCCGACAGGGGATGAGGAGCGCTCAAGAGTTTGCGCTGGAGTTCCGGACTCTAGCGGCTGATGCTGGGTGGAATGAGAGGGCCCTCATAGACCACTTTAGATGTAGCCTTCAGGAGGACGTCCGCAGGGAGTTAGCATGCAGGGACACTACACTAACATTTGACCAGCTGGTGGACATGGCCATTCGACTGGACACCCTGCTTGCGACCCGCGGACGTCCCAGGTGGGGGCCTCCCATTCCACCCTCCAGCGCCTCCGAGCAGAGTCCGATGGAGCTTGGAGGTGCTGGCGCTAGAGGGAGAAGAGGTAGGAGCCCGAGGGGGGCAGTCTCCTGCACCAAGTGTGGCCACGGAGGGCACACCGCGGCTAGGTGCTGGGGAGGGTCGCCTGGTGAGGGAGATGGCAGGTCATACAGTGGGGAGTCCTCCCAGGTGAGTAGGCGCCCTACTTACCCAGAGCTTTCTGTCGTACACATTACATTACCTGTTTGTTTCCCACAGGTTGCACCTCGTTCCCAGCATAAGGCGCTAGTCGATTCAGGCGCAGCTGGGAATTTTGTAGATCGGAAATTCTGTGTTAAGTTAGGGATTCCCCTCCTTCCAGTCGAAAAGCCCTTTCCTGTACATGCCTTAGATAGTCGTCCGTTAGGATCTGGGTTGATTGGGGAGGTCACAGCGCCACTTAGGATGATGACGCAGGGGGGTCATGAGGAGACGATTCAACTCTATCTGATCGACTCTCCTGCGTATCCGGTGGTACTGGGGCTTCCCTGGTTGATTACCCATGATCCTACTATTTCGTGGCGAGAGAAGGCTCTTAAAGGGTGGTCTGCTCAGTGTGAGGGGTTATGTCTGGGTGTTTCCGTAGGGGCGACCTCGGTGGAGAGTCCGAACCAGATGCCAGCACTGCACATTCCTCCTGAGTATGAGGATTTGGCGCTCGTGTTTAGTAAGACCAGAGCGGCACGGTTGCCACCTCATAGACAGGGGGATTGTGCGATAGACCTCCAAACAGGAGCCGCGCTTCCGCGGAGCCATGTGTATCCTTTGTCACAGGAGGAGAAAAGGGCAATGGAAACTTACATTGCCGAGTCTCTGAGACAGGGATGCATACGGTCCTCCACTTCTCTCGCGTCCTCGAGCTTCTTTTTTTGTGAAGAAAAAGGATGGAGGTTTGCGTCCGTGTATTGATTACCGCGGTCTCAATCAGGTAACTGTGAAATATAGTTATCCACTCCCGCTGATTGGGACCATGACGGAGTCATTACACGGGGCACGGTTCTTCACAAAAATTGGACCTCAGGAGCGCATATAACTTGGTGCGCATTAGGGAGGGCGATGAGTGGAAGACAGCATTTAGTACTACCTCCGGCCATTACGAGTATCTCGTCATGCCATATGGGTTAATGAATGCTCCATCAGTCTTCCAATCGTTTGTAGATGAAATTTTCCGGGACATGCAGGCGCAGGGAGTAGTGGTGTACATAGATGATATTCTTGTGTACAGTTCTACTCGGGCCGAGCATGTAGCCCTGGTGCGCAGGGTATTGAGGAGACTGTTGGAGCATGACCTGTATGTCAAAGCTGAGAAATGTCTGTTCTTTCAGGAGTCAGTTTCCTTTTTGGGTTACCAGTTGTCTGCGTCAGGGGTGAGAATGGAGGTGGACCGAGTGGCAGCCGTGCGTAATTGGCAAACCCCAACTACGGTTAAAGAGGTGCAGCGGTTCTTGGGTTTTGCGAATTACTACCGGAGGTTTATCCGGGGTTTTGGACAGGTGGCAGCTCCCATAACGTCTCTTCTGAAGGGGGGTCCGTTGCACTTGCAGTGGTCGGCTGAGGCGGACAGGGCCTTTGGGAGACTGAAGGACCTGTTTACCTCGGCTCCGGTGTTGGCGCACCCGGATCCCACTTTACCCTTCCAAGTTGAGGTGGACGCGTCTGAGGCCGGTATCGGGGCAGTTCTTTCTCAACGATCCGGTACACCACCTAAGCTCCGCCCCTGTGCTTTTTATTCTAAGAAGCTCAGTCCGGCGGAGCGGAATTATGACGTAGGGGACAGGGAGCTGTTAGCCGTAGTACAGGCCCTAAAGGTGTGGAGGCATTGGCTTGAGGGGGCTCAGCACCCTTTCCTCATTCTGACCGACCATCGTAACCTGGAATACATTCGGGCAGCTAGGAGACTGAATCCTCGCCAGGCTCGATGGACTATGTTTCTCGCCCGGTTTGTGTTCAAGATCACTTACATCCCTGGGTCCCAGAACGGGAAGGCAGATGCTCTGTCCCGTCGGTATGACACGGAGGAGAGGTGCGTGGAGTCCATTCCCATACTACCGGAGTCTTGTCTGGTGGCACCGGTGGTGTGGGAGGTCGATGCGGAGATCGAGCGGGCGTTACGCACCGACCCTAGTCCTCCACAGTGTCCGGTGGGTCGGGCGTACGTCCCGCTCGAGGTCCGGGATCGGCTGATTTATTGGTCTCACACGTCCCCCTCCTCTGGACATTCAGGTATTGGCCGGACAGTGCACTGCCTTAGTACGAAGTACTGGTGGCCAACGTTAGCCAGGGATGTGAGGGTTTATGTCTCCTCCTGCTCAGTGTGTGCCCAGTGTAAGGCGCCCAGACACTTGCCCAGGGGTAAATTACAGCCCCTGCCCGTTCCACAACGACCCTGGTCTCACCTCTCGGTGGATTTTGTTACCGATCTTCCCTCCTCACAGGGGAATACCACCATCCTGGTCGTTGTGGATCGGTTCTCGAAGGCCTGTCGTCTCCTTCCCATGCCGGGTCTTCCTACTGCCCTACAGACCGCTGAGGCTCTATTTACTCACGTCTTCCGGCATTACGGGGTGCCCGAGGATATAGTGTCCGATCGAGGCCCCCAGTTTACCTCCAGAGTCTGGAGAGCATTTATGGAACGTTTGGGGGTCTCGGTGAGCCTTACCTCGGGTTACCACCCGGAGAGTAATGGGCAGGTCGAACGAGTCAACCAGGATGTGGGTAGGTTTCTGAGGTCATATTGTCAGGGCCGGCCGGAGGAGTGGGCGAGATATGTGCCCTGGGCCGAGATGGCACAGAACTCTCTCCGCCACTCCTCCACGAGACTAACCCCTTTCCAGTGTGTGTTAGGGTACCAGCCGGTTCTGGCACCGTGGCATGAGAGCCAGATCGAGGCCCCCGCTGTGGATGAGTGGGTGCGGCGCTCGGAGGAGACGTGGAACGCTGCACACGTCCATCTGCAGCGTGCCATACGTCGACAGAAGACGAGCGCCGACCTACACCGCAGTGAGGGGTCAGTGTACGCACCTGGAGATCGAGTCTGGCTCTCAACCAGAAACCTGCCCCTCCGCCTGCCCTGCCGGAAGCTGGGTCGGCGGTTTGTGGGGCCTTTTAAAGTCCTGAGGAGATTGAACGAGGTGTGTTACAGGTTAGAACTACCTATTGATTACAAGAATATTAACCCCTCGTTCCATGTGTCTCTCCTCAGGCCGGTGGTAGCTGGTCCACTCCAGGACTTTGAGATTGAGGAGACTCCTCCGCCCCCGTTGGACATCGAGGGGGCTCCGGCGTACACTGTTCGGACCATCCTGGATTCGAGACGCCGGATGGGGGGTCTCCAATATCTCGTGGAGTGGGAGGGGTACGGTCCGGAGGAGCGGTGCTGGGTGCCGAGGAGGGACATTCTGGATCCGTCCCTGATGACCGAATTCCATCGTGGTCATCCTACGCGCCCTGCTCCGCGTCCTCCTGGTCGTCCCCGAGGCCGGAGGCGGCGCGCGGCTGGAGCCGCGCGTCAAGGGGGGGGTACTGTCACGGTTTCGGCCGAGGCGGCTCCTCCTCCTTGTTCGGGCAGGTTTCGCCGGTCGTCGTCTCCGGAGTACTAGCTGCCACCGCTCTATGTTTCTTGTTTGATTGGTTTTGTCTGTTAGTCACACCTGTTTTGTGTTATGTCTCATTTAGCACCCTATTTAGTTTCCTTGTTGTTAGTTTAGTGTTGTGTGTAATTGTTCGTGTCGTGTTGTTGCGCTACCCGTGTCGGAACGCTATTTTCATAGCTTCCTCCTTGTGTTTAGGAGAGTATTTTCGCACCTGTGTGTGCGCTCGCTTATTTACGCCTGTGTGCGTCCCTTTGCCTCCGGGCTGTTTGGATTATTTTTGTGTGCTCTAGTAAAGTCTTGTTGGACTTATCCTCTGCTTCCTGCGCCTGATTCTACACCACACCAATCCACAGCAACGTGACATGTATGCTTGACTATGCTACACTGTACATATTATCAGTGTTACTGCCCAGGGTTGGGCCTACCTTTACAAAAACACAAACTATGACAGTTCACTGGCCCTTCCCAGCATCAGAGAACAGAGCGGGTCTGTGCGCCTGGGGTTTCGGTGTGTGTGTAGAGAGGGGTTCTGCCCCCAGAATGTTGATGGTTAAAGGAGTGCATTACATTAGTAGTAGAAGCAAGATTCCTGTGACTTCTGAAACTGAAAAAATTATAAAACATGCCATGGATTAGTTCATTTCTACTCACAAAAAAGAGACAGTATAATGCATCTATTTCTCTCTCTCTCCCTCTCTCTCTGTCTCCTCTCTGTCTCCTCCTGCCTCTCTCTCAGGCCTGTCTTCCACTGCGGAGGTCACCTGGTGACTGACTCAGGCTTCGTGGGCAGTGAGGGTTTCCCCAGCCACTACAAACCCAACCGCAAATGCACCTGGTACATCACTGTGAGTACCAAACAGAAGATATACCACAACACTATATAACCACTAAACAAAATACTCAACCCTCCAGCTACAGTGGTGGAAAAAGTACCCAATTGTCATACTTGAGTAAAAGTAAATATACTTTAAAAGAAAATTAATCAAGAAAAAGTGAAAATCACACAGTAAAATCCTGCTTGAATAAAAGTCTAAAAGTATTTGGTTTGAAATATACTTAAGTATCAAAAGTAAATGTAAAAGCATAACATAATTTCAAATTCCTTACATTAAGCAAACCAGACGGCAAGATTTTGTTGTTTTTATTTTATTTACGGATAGCCAGGGGGCACGCTCCAACACTCAGACATAATTTACAAATGAAGCATGTGTGTTTTAGTGAGTTCGCCAGATCAGAGGCAGTAGGGATGACCAGGGATGTTATTTTGATAAGTGCGTGAATTAGACCATTTTCCTGTCCTGCTAAGCATTCAAAATGTAACGAGTACTTTTGGGTGTCAGGGAAAATGGATGGAGTAAAGAAGTACATCATTTTCTTTAGGAATATAGTGAAGTAAAAGTAAAAGTTGTCAAAAATATAAATAGTAAAGTGAAGTACAGATACCCCCCAAAAAACTACTTAAGTAGTACTTTAAAGTATTTTTTGTACTTTACACCACTGCAATGTAATTCTAATAATAATGCCTCTACATGGTATAATAGTGAGTACAACTCATAGACAATAACATCTGTTGTCCTTTGATAAGATAATGGTCATTCACACTAGCCTCCAATAGGCTAACTACACACTTGACCCTCTAAGGCTTAACCTCTGACCTTTAACCCCTCTCATCTACATCCCATAATACCCAGGTCCCCGAGGGCCACGTGGTCATGCTCTCCTTCCGCATGTTTGACCTGGAGGCCGACCCCACCTGTCGCTATGACTACCTGGACGTGTACAACGGCCACTCGCACACGGTGCAGAAGCTGGGGAGGTTCTGTGGGACGTTCCGACCAGGGGCTCTCATCTCTACCTCCAACACCATGATGCTGGAGATGGTGTCCGATAGTAGCACCGGAGGACGGGGGTTCGTGGTTCACTACCAAGGAGGGAAACCACACATGGACGGTGAGGTTTGATTATTGATACTGTGGTTTCATGGACGGTGAGGATTGAAAAGAAAACATGAATCATCAGCGTACAATGACACCTTTGTTTTTAAGCCCTGGATTTCTAATCCCTTGATATTATTGTTGGATCTGATTTTAATAGCTAACATGTCGATGGCCATAATAAATAGATATGCCGATAGTGGACAACCTTGCTTTACTCCTCGTGACAGTTTCTGAGAAATAGCCATTATTTACTATTTTACACCTAGGGTTACTATACATGATTTTAACCAATTTTATAAGAGATTCTCCAAAATTGAAATGCTCCAGGCATTTATATATAAACTCCAGTCGTACTTTATCAAATGCCTTTTCAAAGTCTGCTATGAATAGCAGGCCTGGTTTCCCATATTTTTCATAGTGTTCTATTGTTTCCAGTACTTACCTTATATTATCTCCAATGTATCGTCCATGTTAAAAACCTGTCTGATTAGAATGAATAATGTCCAACAATACCTTTTTAATTCTATACGCTATACATTTTGCTAGAAGTTTTGCATCACAACACTGAAGTGTAAGGGGCCCCCAATATTTTTATGGACTGGATCTTTATATTTTCCACTTGTATCCTGTTTCAGTAATAATGAAATTAAACCTTCTTCTTGAGTGTCTGATAATCTACCATTTACATAGGAGTGGTTAAAACATGCAAATAACGGTCCTCTGAGTATATCAAAAAAGGTTTGGTATACCTCGACTGGTATGCAATCCAACCCTGGAGTTTTCCCAGACTTAAAGTCTTTAATTGCATCCAGAAGTTCCTCCTCTGTAATTTCACCTTCACATGAGTCTTTCTGTATGGCTGTTAATTTTACATTATCAATAGAAAAAAATCCCTACAATTTGCTTTAGTTAGAGGAGATGGAGGCGACTGAAACGAAAATATATGCTTAAAGTACTTTGCTTAGTCCTTCAAAATATAATTTGGTGAATCATAGGTGACTCCATCATTTGTAACCAGTTTCAGTAAATTATTTTTGGTAGCATTTGTGTTTAAAAGATTACAAAATAATTTGGTGCATTTTTCCCCATATTCCATCCAGTTTGCTTTATTTTTATAATATATTACACTTGATCTTTCTTGAATAAGTTTCTCCATTTCTTTTTGTTTTTCCTCTAATTTATTCTGAGCCTCTATGTTACAGTTTAATTGCTATCTATCTGTTCTGTTAGACCTTCTATTTCCTTTGTTAGTATGGACTCTTTTGACCTAAATTGCTTTTGTTTTCGAGATGAGTACTGAATTGCGTGGCCTCTAAAGGCACATTTAAAAGTGTCCCATACAATAAGGGGATTTGCTCTACCTATGTTATGTCGGAAAAAATCTGTTATAAATTCCTCTGTCTATTTAAACAAGTTATCATCCAATAGGCTTTGATTAAATTTCCAACATCCTCGCCCACGTGGAAATTCAGTAAGAGTAATGTATATGCCAATTATATGATGGTCCGACCGCACTCTGTCCCCTATCAACACTTTTTAAACTTTTGGTGCCAACGAAAATGACATAAGAAAGAAGTCAAGACGACTAGCTTGATTGAGTCTCCGCCATGTATATCTCACTGGATCAGGATATTTAAGCCTCCATATATCTACTAATTCTAATGTATCCATGACATTCATGATTTCCTTAAGAGCATGAGGGTGATAGTTTGTTGTGTGATTTCCTTTACGGTCCATTGAGCTATTTAAAACGGTATTATAATCTCCACCATAATAATAGAGTCTTGAATTGCTTGCAGGGTTGATAATTAATTATATATTGTCAAAGAAGTGTGGATCATCATTATTTGGTCCGTAAAGGTTAATGAGCCATATCTGTTTATGGTCCAATAACATATTTAAAAGTATATTCCCCCCCCCCCCCCCAATAAAAAATACCATATTGATTGTTTATTGATACTGTGGTTTCATGGACGGTGAGGTTTGATTATTGATACTGTGGTTTCATTGGACGGTGAGGTTTGATTATTGATACTGTGGTTTCATGGACGGTGAGGTTTGATTATTGATACTGTGGTTTCATGGACGGTGAGGTTTGATTATTGATACTGTGGTTTCATGGACGGTGAGGTTTGATTATTGATACTCTGGTTTCATGGACGGTGAGGTTTGATTATTGATACTGTGGTTTCATGGACGGTGAGGTTTGATTATTGATACTGTGGTTTCATGGACGGTGAGGTTTTGATTATTGATACTGTGGTTTCATGGACGGTGAGGTTTGATTATTGATACTGTGGTTTCATGGACGGTGAGGTTTGATTATTGATACTGTGGTTTCATGGACGGTGAGGTTTGATTATTGATACTGTGGTTTCATGGACGGTGGGTTTGATTATTGATACTGTGGTTTCATGGACGGTGAGGTTTGATTATTGATACTGTGGTTTCATGGACGGTGAGGTTTGATTATTGATACTGTGGTTTCATGGACGGTGAGGTTTGTTTATTGATACTGTGGTTTCATGGACGGTGAGGTTTGATTATTGATACTGTGGTTTCATGGACGGTGAGGTTTGATTATTGATACTGTGGTTTCATGGACGGTGAGGTTTGTTTATTGATACTGTGGTTTCATGGACGGTGAGGTTTGATTATTGATACTGTGGTTTCATGGACGGGTGAGGTTTGATTTATGATACTGTGGTTTCATGGACGGTGAGGTTTGTTTATTTGATACTGTGGTTTCATGGACGGTGAGGTTTGATTATTGACTACTGTGGTTTCATGGACGGTGAGGTTGTTTATTGACTTGGTTTCTGGACGGTGAGGTTTGTTATTGATACTGTGGTTTCATGGACGGTGAGGTTTGTTTATTGATACTGTGGTTTCATGGACGGTGAGGTTTGATTATTGATACTGTGGTTTCATGGACGGTGAGGTTTGATTATTGATACTGTGGTTTCATGGGACGGTTGAGGTTTGTTATTGATACTGTGGTTTCATGGACGGTGAGGGTTTGATTATTGATACTGTGGTTTCATGGACCGGTGAGGTTTGATTATTGATACTGTGGGTTTCATGGACGGTGAGGTTTGATTATTGATACTGTGGTTTCATGGACGGTTGAGGTTTGATTTGATACTTGGTTTCCTGGACGGTGAGGTTTGATTATTGATACTGTGGTTTCATGGACGGTGAGGGTTTTATTATTTATACTGGTGGTTTCATGGACGGTGAGGTTTGATTTTTGATACTGTGGTTTCATGGACGGTGAGGTTTGATTATTGATACTGTGGTTTCATGGACGGTGAGGTTTGATTTTTGATACTGTGGTTTCATGGACGGTGAGGTTGTTTATTGATACTGTGGTTTCATGGACGGTGGGGGTTTGATTATTGTTACTGTGGTTTTTAGGACGGTGAGGTTTGTTTATTGATACTGTGGTTTCATGGACGGTGAGGTTTGATTATTGATACTGTGGTTTCATGGACGGTGAGGTTTGTTTATTGATACTGTGGTTTCATGGACGGTGAGGTTTTTTTATTGATACTGTGGTTTCATGGACGGTGAGGTTTGATTATTGATACTGTGGTTTCATGGACGGTGATGGGTTTGATTATTGATACTGTGGTTTCATGGACGGTGAGGTTTGTTTATTGATACTGTGGTTTCATGGACGGTGAGGTTTGATTATTGATACTGTGGTTTCATGGACGGTGAGGTTTGATTATTGATACTGTGTGGTTTCATGGACGGTGAGGTTTGTTATTGATACTTGGGTTTCATGGACGGTGAGGTTTTTATTATTGATTTCTGTGGTTTCATGGACGGTGAGGTTTGTTTATTTATACTGTGGTTTCATGGACGGTGAGGTTTGATTATTGATACTGTGGTTTCATGGACGGTGAGGTTTGATTTTTTGATACTGTGGTTTCATGGACGGGAGGTTTGATTATTGATACTGTGGTTTCATGGACGGTGAGGTTTGATTATTGATACTGTGGTTTCATGGACGGTGAGGTTTGATTATTGATACTGTGGTTTCATGGACGGTGAGGTTTGTTTATTGATACTGTGGTTTCATGGCGGTTGAGGTTTTGATTATTGATACTGTGGTTCATGGACGGTGAGTTTGTTTATTGATACTGTGGTTTCATGGACGGTGAGGTTGATTATTGATACTGTGGTTTCATGGACGGTGAGGTTTGATTATTGATACTGTGGTTTCATGGACGGTGAGGTTTGTTTATTGATACTGTGGTTTCATGGACGGTGGGTTTGATTTATTGATACTGTGGTTTCATGGACGGTGAGGTTTGTTTATTGATACTGTGGTTTCATGGACGGTGAGGTTTGTTTATGATACTGTGGTTTCATGGACGGTGAGGTTTGTTTATTGATACTGTGGTTTTCATGGACGGTGAGGTTTGTTTATTGATACTGGTGGTTTCATGGACGGTGAGGTTTGTTTATTGATACTGTGGTTTCATTGGACGGTGAGGTTTGATTTATTGATACTGTGGTTTCATGGACGGTGGAGGTTTGGTTTATTGATACTGTGGTTTCATGGACGGTGAGGTTGTTATTGATACTGTGGTTTCATGGACGGTGAGGTTTGATTATTGATACTGTGGGTTTCATGGACCGGTGAGTTTGTTTATTTATACTGTGGGTTTTATGGACGGTGAGGTTTGATTATTGATACGTGGTTTCATGGGCGGTGAGGTTTGATTATTGATACTGTGGTTTCATGGCCCGGGGAGGTTTGATTATTGATACTGTGGTTTTATGGATGTTAAGGTTGATTATTGATACTGTGGTTTCATGGGTGTTAAGGTTTGTTTATTGATACTGTGGTTTCATGGACGGTGAGGGTTTTTTTATTGATACTGTGGTTTCATGGACGGTTTTAGGTTTGATTATTGATCTGGGTTTCATGGACGGTGAGGTTTGTTTATTGATACTGTGGTTTCAGGACGGTGAGGTTTGATTATTTATACTGTGGTTTCATGGACGGTGAGGTTTGTTTATTGATACTGTGGTTTTCAGGACGGTGAGGTTTGATTATGATACTGTGGTTTCATTTGGGCGTTGAGGTTTGTTTATGATACTGTGGTTTCATGGACGGTGAGGTTTGATTATTGATACTGTGGTTTCATGGACGGTGGAGGTTTGATTATTGATACTGTGGTTTCATGGACGGTGAGGTTTGTTTATTGATACTGTGGTTTCATGGACGGTGAGGTTTGATTATTGATACTGTGGTTTCATGGATGGGGATGTTTGATTATTGATACTGTGGTTTCATGGACGGTGAGGTTTGATTATTGATACTGTGGGTTTCATGGACGGTGAGGTTTTGAATTATTGATACTGTGGTTTCATGGACGGTGAGGTTTGATTATTGATACTGTGGTTTCATGGACGGTGAGGTTTGTTTATTGATACTGTGGTTTCATGGACGGTGAGGTTTTGCTTATTGATACTGTGGTTTCATGGGACGGTGAGGTTTGATTATTGATACTGTGGTTTCATGGACGGTGAGGTTTGATTATTGATACTGTGGTTTCATGGACGGTGAGGTTTGTTTATTGATACTGTGGTTTCATGGACGGTGAGGTTTGATTATTGATACTGTGGTTTCATGGACGGTGAGGTTTGTTTATTGATACTGTGGTTTCATGGACGGTGAGTTTGATTATTGATACTGGGGGTTTCATGGACGGTGAGGTTTGATTTTTGATACTGTGGTTTCATGGACCCGGGGAGGTTTGTTTATTGATACGTGGTTTCATGGCGGTGAGGTTTGTTTATTGATACTGTGGTTTCAGGACGGTGGAGGTTTGTTTATTGATACTGTGGTTTCATGGACGGTGAGGTTGTTTATTGATATGTGGGTTCATGGACGGGGGAGGTTTGATTATTGATACTGTGGTTTTATGGACGGGAGGTTTGTTTATTGATACTGTGGTTTCATGGACGGTGAGGTTGTTATTGATACTGTGGTTTCATGGACGGTGAGGTTTGGTTTATTGATACTGTGGTTTCATGGACGGTGAGGTTTGGTTTTTTGATACTGTGGTTCATTTGGGCGGTGAGGTTGTTTATTGATACTGTGGTTTCATGGACGGTGAGGTTTGATTATTGATACTGTGGTTTCATGGACGGTGAGGTTTGTTTATTGATACTGTGGTTTCAATGGACGGTTTGAGGTTTGATTATTGATACTGTGGTTTCATGGGACGGTTGAGTTTTGATTATTGATACTGTGGTTTTCATGGACGGTTGAGGTTTGATTTATTGATACTGTGGTTTCATGGACGGTTAAGGTTTGATTATTGATTACTGTGGTTTCATGGACGTGAGGTTTGTTTATTGATACTGTGGTTTCATGGCCGGTGAGTGTTGTTTATTGATACTGTGGTTTCATGGACGGTTGGAGGTTTGATTATTGATACTGTGGTTTCATGGACGGTGAGGTTTGTTTCTTGATACTGGTGGTTTCATGGACGGTGAGGTTTGATTATTGATACTGGTGGTTTCATGGACGGTGAGGTTTGTTTATTGATACTGTGGTTTCATGGACGGTGAGGTTTGATTATTGATACTGTGGTTTCATGGACGGGTGAGGTTTGTTTATTATAACTGTGGTTTCAATGGACGGTTGAGGTTTGATTATTGATACTGTGGGTTTCATGGACGGTGAGGTTTGATTATTGACTTATACTGTGGTTTCATGGACGGTGAGGTTTGTTTATTGATACTGTGGTTTTCATGGATGGGTGATGTTTGATTATTGATACTGTGGTTTCATGGACGTGGGAGGTTTGATTATTGATACTGTGGTTTCATGGACGGTGGAAGGTTGATTATTGATACTGTGGTTTTCATGGACGGTGAGGTTTTGATTATTGATACTGTGGTTTCATGGACCGGTGAGGGTTGTGATTATTGATACTGTGGTTTCATGGACGGTGGAGGTTTGATTATTGATACTGTGGGTTTCATGGACGGTGAGGTTTTGATTATTGATACTGTGGTTTCATGGACGGTGAGGTTTGATTATTGATACTGTTGGTTTCATGGACGGTGAGGTTTGATTATTGATACTGTGGTTTCATGGACGGTGAGGGTTGATTATTGATACTGTGGTTCATGGACGGTTGAGGTTTGATTATTGATACTGTGGTTTCATGGATGGGGATGTTTGATTATTGATACTGTGGTTTCATGGACGGGAGGTTTTGATTATTGATACTGTGGTATCATGGACGGTGAGGTTTGATTATTGATACTGTGGTTTCATGGACGGTGAGGTTTGATTATTGATACTCTAGTTTCAGGGACGGTGAGGTTTGATTATTGATACTGTGGTTTCATGGACGGTGAGGTTTGATTATTGATACTGTGGTTTCATGGACGGTGAGGTTTGATTATTGATACTGTGGTTTCATGGACGGTGAGGTTTGATTATTGATACTGTGGTTTCATGGACGGTGAGGTTGATTATTGATACTGTGGTTTCATGGACGGTGAGGTTTGATTATTGATACTGTGGGTTTCATGGACGGTTGAGGTTTGATTATTGATACTGTGGTTTCATGGACGGTGAGGTTTGATTATTGATACTCTAGATTCATGGATGGTGATGTTTGATTATTGATACTGTAGTTTCATTGACGGTAAGTTTTGATTATTGATACTGTGGTTTCATGGACGGTGAGGTTTGTTTATTGATACTGTGGTTTCATGGACGGTGAGTTTGATTATTGATACTGTGGTTTCATGGACGGTGAGGTTTGATTATTGATACTGTGGTTTCATGGACGGTGAGGTTTGATTATTGATACTGTGGTTTCATGGACGGTGAGGTTTGATTATTGATACTCTAGATTCATGGATGGTGATGTTTGATTATTGATACTGTAGTTTCATTGACGGTAAGTTTTGATTATTGATACTGTGGTTTCATGGACGGTGAGGTTTGTTTATTGATACTGTGGTTTCATGGACGGTGAGGTTTGATTATTGATACTGTGGTTTCATGGACGGTGAGGTTTGATTATTGATACTGTGGTTTCATGGACGGTGAGGTTTGATTATTGATACTGTGGTTTCATGGACGGTGAGGTTTGATTATTGATACTCTAGATTCATGGATGGTGATGTTTGATTATTGATACTGTAGTTTCATTGACGGTAAGTTTTGATTATTGATACTGTGGTTTCATGGACGGTGAGGTTTGTTTATTGATACTGTGGTTTCATGGACGGTGAGGTTTGATTATTGACACTGTGGTTTCATGGACGGTGAGGTTTGATTATTGACACTGTGGTTTCATGGACGGTGATGTTTGATTATTGATACTGTGGTTTCATGGACGGTGAGGTTTGATTATTGATACTGTGGTTTCATGGACGGTGAGGTTTGATTATTGATACTCTGGTTTCATGCTCTTCAGTCTGTCTCTCTATTTACACTTGTACTGTATTTACAGTCTCTGTCATGAACCTGCTGTCCACACGCACATTCTGATATGCCTCTCTTTCGTTCTCTCTCTCTCCCCATGCAGAGAACCAGTTCTGTGGGGGTAGACTAACGAAGGCTCTCTCTCTCCCCATGCAGAGAACCAGTTCTGTGGGGGTAGACTAACGAAGGCTCTCTCTCTCCCCATGCAGAGAACCAGTTCTGTGGGGGTAGACTAACGAAGGCTCAAGGTTCCATCAAGACGCCCAACTGGCCCAACTCAGATTACCCAGCAGGCATCAGCTGCTCCTGGCACATCTCCGTGGAGCCCAGCAATGTCAGGCCTCAACCAATCACAACACAGCATCAGCACACCTCCACCAATGATAACACAGCATCAGCAAACCTCCACCAATCACAACACAGCATCAGCACACGTCTACCAATCACAACACAGCATCAGCACACCTCCACCAATCACAACACAGCATCATCAGCACACCACCAATCACAACACAGCATCAGCAGCACACCTCCACCAAAAAACAAAACCCAGCATCAGCACACCTCCACCAATCACAACACAGCATCAGCAGCATACAACCACCAATCAGAACACAGCATCAGCACACCTCCACCAATCACAACACAGCATCAGCACACACCTGTTATACCTCTTCATTGGATCACTTTATTTGAGATTCTAAAAGGTTGTAGTTATTAGAGACTTCTCTAAAAATGTATGCGCTCACTAACTGTAAGTCGCTCTGGATAAGAGCATCTGCTAAATGACTAAAATGTTAAATGTAAATGTAAATGCTCTGGAAGCTTGATACAGGTCCTCAAGTTATGGGAGTAGATCCGTGTGTGTAAGTGTGTCTGTGTGTGTCTTGTGTGTGTGTGTGTGTGTGTGTGGTGTGTTTTGTGTGGTGTTTGGTGTTGTGTGTAAGTGTGTGTGTTGTGTTGTCTTGTGTGTGTTGTGTGTGTGTTGTGTTTGTGTGTGTGTGTGTGTGTGTGTGTGTTGTTGTGTGGGTGTGTGTGTGTGTGTGTGTGTGTGTGTGTGTGTCTGTGTGGTGTGCCCACCTGCCTGTGGTCCTGTGCTGTGTGTTAATGAAAGGCTTCATTGAAGGAGTAGGGCGTGTAATGTTGAGAGTGGAGAGAAGATGAGAGAGACTGAGCTAGAGAAGAGAGAGAGAGAGAGAAGAGAGAGAGGAAGAGGAGAGGAGCGAGAGAGAGAGAGAGCACGATGATAGACCGAGAGCGAGCCCGACATGAGAAACTAGAGAGACGTAGAGCAGAGAATCGAGCATTGTAAATGTCCCTCTGTATTCTAAATGTCAGCCTGACCACTCCCTCACTCTACATTACATAAAATAATTATGAATAACAAGATGCGCTACATGACGCATAACTAAAACCTATCATGACCTTAGATTCTAAGGTTATATCTGTCAAAAGATGATTCTGAGATTAATGGCTTCGAAATTCCATCCCTCATTGGTTTGAATGGTGTGAGCAATTTCCATTTTGTGTAACTTAATATGATTTGTGTTATGTAAGAATGGTTAATGTTATAAAACCGGTTAATGTAACAGCATACACCTGTACTTTATGTTAATGTAACAACATATTACGTTACTTTATGTTACTGTAACAACATATTAAATGTATTTATGTATTGTAAAAACTATTACTGTACTTTATGTTAATGTAACAACATTTACTGTACTTTTTGTTAATTTTTAACAGCATATCACCTGTACTTTATGGTTTAATTTAAAAACATATTACTGTACTTTATGTTACTGTAACAAAAATATTACTGTACTTTATGGTTAATGTAACAACATATTACTGTACTTTTTGTTAATGTAACAACTATTACTGTACTTTATGTTATTTTTAACCCAAAATATTACTGTACTTTATGTTATTGTAACAACATATTACTGTACTTTATGTTACTGTAACAACATATTACTGTACTTTATGTTATTGTAACAACATATTACTGTACTTTATGTTAATGTAACAACATATTACTGTACTTTATGTTACTGTAACAACATATTACTGTACTTTATGTTATTGTAACAACATATTACTGTACTTTATGTTAATGTAACAACATATTACTGTACTTTATGTTACTGTAACAACATATTACTGTACTTTATGTTATTGTAACAACATATTACTGTACTTTATGTTACTGTAACAACATATTACTGTACTTTATGTTACTGTAACAATATATTACTGTACTTTATGTTAATGTAACAACATTTTACTGTACTTTATGTTAATGTAACAACATATTACTGTACTTTATGTTATTGTAACAACATATTACTGTACTTTATGTTATTGTAACAACATATTACTGTACTTTATGTTATTGTAACAACATATTACTGTACTTTATGTTAATGTAACAACATATTACTGTACTTTATGTTATTGTAACAACATATTACTGTACTTTATGTTATTGTAACAACATATTACTGTACTTATGTTATTGTAAACATATACTGTACTTTATGTATGTAACAACATATACTGTACTTTATGTTATTGTAACAACATATTACTGTACTTTATGTTAATGTAACAACATATTACTGTACTTTATGTTTTTGTAACAACATATTACTGTACTTTATGTTATTGTAACAACATATTACTGTACTTTATGTTATTGTAACAACATATTACTGTACTTTATGTTATTGTAACACCAATATGACTTTATGTATGTAACAAATTATACTGTACTTTATGTTAGTGAACAACATATTACTGTACTTTATGTTAATGTAAAACATATTACTGTACTTTATGTTACTGTAACAACATATTACTGTACTCTATGTTAATGTAACAACATATTACTGTACTTTATGTTATTGTAACAACATATTACTGTACTTTATGTTACTGTAACAACATATTACTGTACTTTATGTTAATGTAACAACATATTACTGTACTTTATGTTACTGTAACAACATATTACTGTACTTTATGTTATGGTAACAACATATTACTGTACTTTATGTTATTGTAACAACATATTACTGTACTTTATGTTATTGTAACAACAAATTACTGTACTTTATGTTAATGTAACAACATATTACTGTACTTTATGTTACTGTAACAACATATTACTGTACTCTATGTTAATGTAACAACATATTACTGTACTTTATGTTATTGTAACAACATATTACTGTACTTTATGTTACTGTAACAACATATTACTGTACTTTATGTTATTGTAACAACATATTACTGTACTTTATGTTATTGTAACAACATATTAACTGTACTTTTATGTTAATGTAACAACATATTACTGTACTTTATGTTATTGTAACAACATATACTGGTACTTTATGTTATTGTAACAACATATTACTGTACTTTATGTTATTGTAACAAACATATTACTGGTACTTCATGTTACTGGTAACAACATATTACCTGTACTCTATGTTAAGTGTAACAAACATATTACTGTACTTTATGTTATTGTAACAACATATTACTGTACTTTATGTTACTGTAACAACATATTACTGTACTTTATGTTAATATAACAACATATTACTGTACTTTATGTTACTGTAACAACATATTACTGTACTTTATGTTACTGTAACAACATATTACTGTACTTTATGTTATTGCAACAACATATTACTGTACTTTATGTTACTGTAACAACATATAACTGTACTTTATGTTATTGTAACAACATATTACTGTACTTTATATTATTGTAACAACATATTACTGTACTTTATGTTCTATGCAGTGTTTCTGTCATCTTATGAATGTCTGTTATGACATCATGACTGGTTATGTATTCCTAGGTGATCGAGGTCAAGTTTGAGAAGTTGGATATAGAGGCTGACACGTACTGTCGCTATGACTATGTGGCATTCTTTAATGGGGGTGAGAGGGACGACTCGCGGCGAATCGGGAAGTACTGTGGTGACAGGGTACCAGGGTCAGGAAATTTTCTTACGATGTTACTGAAATTTTTTATCTAATGTTGTTACATTTTCACTTAGATTTGGAAAACCACAGCCCTCTCTCCTCTCTCCTTCCCTTTGCTATTCACTCTTCCCTCTTCCTCTCCTCTCTCCTTCCATTTGATATTCACTCCTCCCTCCTCTCTCCCTCCTCTCTCCCTCCTCTCCTCCATTCCCTCCCCCCTCTTACAGGACCATAGTGACCAATGGGAACGAGCTCCTGGTGCAGTTTGTGTCTGACCTCAGTGTGACCTCCAATGGCTTTATGGCCCACTACTCCAGTGTGCCCCGGGGGTCCCGGACGCCCTCCTCGGGGGAAGACACCACCCATGGGCCTCGGGTCACCGCCACACCCCAGAAACCTACCTCCAAGCCGGCCAAACCGGCCCGGACCGCTCCTAAACCCAAGCCAGCCATCGGGGCCAAGCCCACCCCAAAACCAGCCACCAGACCTGGGGTGAGGATACCAGTGAAGCCTCCACCACGTAAGCCTACAGCCAAGCCTGGAGTCAGACCCATACCTAAACCGAAACCCACTAAGCCTATTCCTAAAGCTGGGGCTAGGCCTACTACTCAACCTGTTACCAAGACTAAACCAACCCCTAAACCTAGCATCAAGGCGAAATCCAAACCAGTGAAACCAACTAAGAAACCCTTCTCTAAGCCTGGAGCCAAGGCCACACCAAAACCAGGGGCCAAACCAGTGAAACCAACTAAGAAACCCTTCTCTAAGCCTGGAGCCAAGCCCACACCAAAACCAGGGGCCAAACCAGTGAAACCAACTAAGAAACCCTTCTCTAAGCCTGGAGCCAAGCCCACACCTAAACCAGGGACTAAGCCTAAAACCACAGCCAAGCCTGGACAGAGCCGGACTAAGACTGTGACTAAGAAACGTGAGTTACAATCTGATGAGGGAACAACCTTGTACTACTGCACTGTGATTGTCACTGATGCTTTTCAGAAATTGTGTTTTTGAAATAACAGTTTCTGTGTGTGTGTGTGTGTGTGTGTATTTTGTAGTCCTACCGATGAATCAGCTGTGTACCCTGGCTTGTAAGAGGTCAGGAACACTCCAATCCAACTTCTGCCCTAATGATTTCGGTGAGTCACACCCTCTAGCCTCTTCTTACTCTACTATCTCTTTGGTTCTCCCTGTCTTCCCAAATCATTTCACTTCCACTTGCTCTTCACTCCTTTCTCTCTATCTCTCTCACCTGTTCGTTGGCATGGTTTTTAAGTAGCTATCTTGGTTGTCATAGATACAGTATTTGTCCTTGTGCTAGTAGATTGGTGTGTGACCTGCAAGGGAACATTTTAACGGTAGACAGGAAGAAGCCACAGCACTTAGAACAATTATTTTAAATTACTCAAAACAATGTCCTGTGGGAAAAAATCTCTCCTCTCTCTCCTCTCTCTCTCTCTCTCTCTCTCCTCTCATCTCTCTCTTCTCTTCTCTCGCTCTCTCCTCTCTCTCTCTCTCTCGCTCTCTCTTCTCTCTCTCTCTCTTCTCTCTCTCCTCTCTCTCTCTCTCTCTCTCTCTCTTTTGGTGTCTCTCCTCTCCTCTCTCATTCCCTCAGGCTGTCAATATTGCGACTTTAACAATCAAACACCAAAGAATAGCCACGGGAACATGTTTGTCACAAGCCTTTATATGACAAAAATATCTGAATCCCTCCCAAAGAAGGGAATGGGATGAGTGGGTCAGGATGTATCTTGGTATCCTGTTTTAACCCCTCCCACTCAGTGAGTCAGGATGTATCTTGGTATCCTGTTTTAACCCCTCCCACTCAGTGAGTCAGGATGTATCTTGGTATCCTGTTTTAACCCCTCCCACTCAGTGAGTCAGGATGTATCTTGGTATCCTGTTTTAACCCCTCCCACTCAGTGAGTCAGGATGTATCTTGGTATCCTGTTTTAACCCTCCCACTCAGTGAGTCAGGATGTATCTTGGTATCCTGTTTTAACCCCTCCCACTCAGTGAGTCAGGATGTATCTTGGTATCCTGTTTTAACCCCTCCCACTCAGTGAGTCAGGATGTATCTTGGTATCCTGTTTTAACCCCTCCCACTCAGTGAGTCAGGATGTATCTTGGTATCCTGTTTTAACCCCTCCCACTCAGGAGTCAGGAGGTATCTTGGTATCCTGTTTTAACCCCTCCCACTCAGGAGTCAGGATGTATCTTGGCATCCTGTTTTAACCCCTCCCACTCAGTGAGTCAGGATGTATCTTGGTATCCTGTTTTAACCCCTCCCACTCAGGAGTCAGGATGTATCTTGGTATCCTGTTTTTAACCCCTCCCACTCAGTGAGTCAGGATGTATCTTGGTATCCTGTTTTAACCCCTCCCACTCAGTGAGTCAGGATGTATCTTGGTATCCTGTTTTAACCCCTCCCACTCCAGTGAGTCAGGATGTATCTTGGTATCCTGTTTTAACCCCTCCCACTCAGTGAGTCAGGATGTATCTTGGTATCCTGTTTTAACCCCTCCCACTCAGTGAGTCAGGATGTATCTTGGTATCCTGTTTTAACCCCTCCCACTCATTCTCTTACTCCACCACTCCTCCCTGTCCCCCCTCCTCCTCTTCTCCCTCTCTCTTCTTTCTCCCCCCTCTTACCCTCACCCCACCCCACCTCTCCCTCTCCTCTCCTCTCTCCCTACTCCCAGTGATCACAGGGAAGGTGACATCCTTGGTCCCAGGCCCCAGGGGCAGTGTGACTGCGGATGTGTCTCTCATCAAGGCCTATAAGAGTGGCCGCCTGGCCATCACCAAATCAGGACCAGCCATGTCCGTCAAACTCACCTCCACCTGCAGGAATTGCCCCGGCCTACGCAAAGGTATGTGCCGTCTCACATACACTGAGTCTGCCAAACATTAGGAACACCTTCCTAATATTGAGTTGCAAGCTGATTCAAATAACCAAAGCTTGATGATGAGTTGGTTATTTGAATCAGCTGTGTAGTGCTAAGGCAAAAAACAAAACGTGCACCCGGGGGAGGGGGGGAGCACCAGAACCAAGTTTGGGAAACCCTGGACTAATTGACTGATTAGTAAATCGGTTAATTAATTAATTTGTTCATTAATTCATTAATTCATTAATTCATCTATCCATCCATCCATCCATTAATGTATTCATTCTTTCATTCATTCATCTATCCGTCCATCCATTCATTAATTTATTCATTCGTCTATCCCATCCATCCGTTCATTTATTTATTCATTCATTCATCTTCCATTTATTCATTCATATATTCATTCATTCAGGAGCGAACTACGTGTTGATGGGCGATGTGGATTTGCAGGGGCGTGGCCTTCTCACCCCCTCCAGCTTCGCTCTCCTGTACAAGGCGGTCCACGCCAAAGCACTGGCCAATCTCGCCCGCCAACCATGCTGATTTTACAGCCCAGTCCACCAGTCACAGAGTGGGACACCTGCCATTCCTCCTACCAACCAACAACTGCACTACAACTGTCCAAATATGAGTCGTTAGAATATACGTTTATGAAAAACGACCAAAGATGGCTTCCGAAAGGTTAGGGGCACAGGGCTAACCATTACATACAGTATTGAAAATCTTTTTATATTGCTATATTATTATTTCGTATTTTTTATACGCTCAGATATACTTATTTGTATTTGTATGTAAATTAGGATATTTCTGTGAATAAAGGATGTATATCGCAAATATTAGATTATTTTGTGTGTTACGTAAAATGTCATTTTCTTAAGCTAAGACATCGCTAAAGGTGTATGCCTCTTCAGCAGCGGTACTTTCACCATCCATTTGGTCTCAATTAATATGGACGTTCTCGGCTAATTACAAATCAATGGCTACACCAGGTGGTAGTTTGTGGTTCAGACATGATATTGAATTTTCACCAATTCAAAAATAGAACGGACACCTCTTGCAATGATTTGAACACGCATTTATTTTGTTATGGTTATATTAGAAAATCACATTTTCTAAAGACTTTTCTAATGTATTTTATTAACGTCAACTGTATATTATCCACAAGTGAAACAGCACTGTCCTATTTGGAATCAGTCTATTCCTTCCTACGTAACTTTAATGGGCTGTACACATTTTAAATAAAAACTGTGTTTAACAGAATGATCACATACTATGAAGAGTTACATAATGTCACCTTCAGGACGAGATGTGTAGTCATGGGGACACACGGGGGACACATGGCTCAGAGACGGTTTGTGTCGCCACCTGGTGGTCTTTGCGGTATTACTGTTTATCTCGCCTGTGTTTCTCTCTCTCCTGCTTTCAGACCTTCTGCCTCTCTCATCTCTCCTTCTCCTCACTCTCTCACAGTGACTCACTGGCTAAGCAAGGGAAGGTGACACTGCTGAAGGGAGGTGGAGCGCATACAAAGAGAGCTTGGACTGCTGCCAAACTGAAAAGAGAGATGGGATAGATGGGTAATAGACACCTTCGCTTTCCAAACCCCCAATAATAATTCATTATATAATAATCCTGGCTTATGTAACTCTATCTCTCATAATATATATCTCTTGTAAAGTCTTGTATCATATTCTCTATATATATTAATATGTATATATATATTTCTGCTACTATATGTTAAATATATCTCTATATCTCTCTATATCTCTATTCTCTCTTATCTTATATCTTTTGTATCTATATCTCTCTATATTATTACTCATTCTATCTCTTATCTATCTTTTCTATTATATCTACTATCTCTCTATTTCTCTATATCTCTCTCTCTCTCTCTCTTCTCTCTTTCTCTCTTGTCTCTCTCTCTCTCTCTCTCATCTTTCTCTCTCTCTCTCTCTCTCTCTCTCTCTCTCCTCTCTCTCTCTCGTCTCTCCTTCTCTCTCTTCTCTCTCTCTCTCTCTCTTCTCTCTCTCTCTCCTTCTGTCTGTCTCTCTCTCTCAATTCAATTCAATTCAATTCAATAGACTTATTGACATGGCAAGTTAAATTACTTACATTGTCAAAGTATACATATAACAAAAATGGTGGGACCAACAGCAATAATAATAATAGTAGTAGTGGAAATGGGATTACCATTAACAGCAACTACAACAACAATATTAATGAGAATAACAATACATTAAAGCAATAGTAGTAGACCAGTCTCAACATGACTGAGAAGACACATGACATGGTATGAAAGCCAAAACAAAACAGGAAATATTATTGACATTACATTACACTTTTCACTGGCTGTCCCTCAGGTTGTGGCAGGAGGACACATATTTGGCTGCCAAAATTGCACATTTTGGCTTTTCACCCAATAACTATTAGATTTTTTCTTCCTCTTTTATAGTTTCAAATTCTTTGTACTGAATGATAATTTTGGGAAAGAAAGATTCTCTTAGGTCTGAGTATTTGTCACAGTGTAATAGGAAATGCAGCTCTGTCTCTACCTCTCCCCGGGGGCAGAGTGAGCACAGCCTGTCCTCTCTGGGCAGCCAGGTTTGCCTGTGACGACCGGTCTCTATAGCCAGACTGTGCTCACTGAGTCTGTACCTAGTCATTGTTTTCCTCAGTTTTCTATCAGTCACAGTGGTCAGATAGTCTCCCACCATGTACTGTCAGTTTAGAGACAAATAGCATTGAAGTTTACTTTGATTTTTTGTGGTATCTTTCCAATAGGTGATATATTTTTCTTTTTGCTTTGTGATGATTTGGTTGGGCCAGATTTTCTGAGTGCTGTCCTGAGGCTCTATGAGGTTGGTTTTGGTTAGTGAACTGAGCCTCAGAACCAGCTGGCTGAGGGGACTCTTCTCTTGTTTCATCTCTTGACATAGTAGAGCTGTGTGATGGAATGTTTTGGGGTCACTTGTTTTTAGATGGTTGTAAAATTTGATGGCTCTTTTTTTCTATTCGAATAAGGAGGGGGTATTGACCCAATTCTGCTCTACATGCGTTATTTGGAGTTTGTCTTTGCACTTGCAATACAGTCTTGCAAAACTCTGCATGCAGTATTTCGATTGGATGTTTGTCCCATTTGGTAAATTCAGTATTAGAGAGTGGACCCCAAACTTCGCTGCCATATAGAGCAATTGGTTCTATAACTGATTGGAAAATTTGAGCCAGATTCTAATTGGAATTTCTATTTTAATATTCCTTCTAATGGCATAGAATGCTCTTCCTGCTTTGTCTCTCAGCTCATTCACAGCCATGTGAAAGCTACCTGTAATGCTGATATTTAGTCCTAGATATGTGTAATTTTTTGTGTGTTCTAATAGAATTTAGATTTGACATCCTGATTTCCGGACCTTTTTTGGAATATCATTATATTCGTTTTTTTTAAATTAACAGTCAGGGCCCAGGTCTGACAGAATCTGTGCAGATGATCTAGATCAGGGGTGTCAAACTCATTTTAGCTCAGGGGCCACATGGAGGAAAATCTATTCCCAAGTGGGCCGGACCGGAAAAATCATGGTATATATAACTTAAAAACAACAACTTCAGATTGTTTTCTTTGTTTTAATACGATCAACATACAACATAAAGCTGGAGCCTGAGGACAGTGTGTCCAAAATAGTACAAGCACAACATGACTATTAATCATAAAACACGTAAAGTTTATTTGAAAATTCTAAAGAAAAAGAACACACAAACACACAATGCCTCAGTGATTAACAGAACTGTTTCACAGATCACAGAACTATATCAGGGTGTCATTTCTCAGGCAGAAAGTGTAGATAAAAATAATGAAATCCTGTTCCCCAAACAAGTGCAAGAACCACAGAGTCCAAGAATAGGTTAAATATACAAATAAAATAAATCAATTAAAAACAATAGCACATCAACATAAAAACATATAAACATAAAGCTGGAGCCTGAGGACAGTGTCCAAAAGCACAAACATCACTATTAATCATAAAAACACCTCAAGTTATTTGAAAGTTCTGAGGACAAAGAACACCAAAAACACACAATGCCTCAGTGATTAACAGAACTGTTTCACAGATCACAGAACTATATCAGGGTGTCATTTCTCAGGCAGAAAATGTAGATACAAATAATGAAATCCTGTTCCCCAAACAAGTGCAAGAACCACAGAGTCAAGAATAGGGTTAAATATACAAATAAAATAAAATCAATTAAAAAACAATAGCACATCAACATAAAAAACATATAAACATAAAGCTGGAGCCTGAGGACAGTGTCCAAAAGCACAACATCACTATTAATCATAAAATACCTCAAGTTATTTGAAAGTTCTGAGGACAAAGAACACACAAACACACAATGCCTCAGTGGATTAACAGAACTGTTTCACAGATCACAGAACTATATCAGGGTGTCATTTCTCAGGCAGAAATGTAGATAAAATAATGAAATCCTGTTCCCAAACAAGTGCAAGAACCACAGAGTCAAGAATAGGTTAAATATACAAATAAAATAAAATCAATTAAAAAACAATAGCACATCAACATAAAAAACATATAAACATAAAGCTGGAGCCTGAGGACAGTGTCCAAAAGCACAACATCACTATTAATCATAAAACACCTCAAGTTATTTGAAAGTTCTGAGGACAAAGAACACACAAACACACAATGCCTCGTGATTCACAGAAGTATATCACAGATCCAGAACTATATCAGGGTGTCATTTCTCAGGCAGAAATGTAGATAAAAATAATGAAATCCTGTTCCCCAAACAAGTGCAAGAACCACAGAGTCAAGAATAGGTTAAATATACAAATAAAAATAAAATCAATTAAAAACAATAGCACATCAACATAAAAACATATAAACATAAAGCTGGAGCCTGAGGACAGTGTCCAAAAGCACAACATCACTATTAATAATAAAATACCTCAAGTTATTTGAAAGTTCTGAGGACAAAGAACACACAAACACACAATGCCTCAGTGATTAACAGAACTGTTTCACAGATCACAGAACTATATCAGGGTGTCATTTCTCAGGCAGAAATGTAGATAAAAATAATGAAATCCTGTTCCCCAAACAAGTGCAAGAACCACAGAGTCAAGAATAGGTTAAATATACAAATAAAATAAAATCAATTAAAAACAATAGCACATCAACATAAAAACATATAAACATAAAGCTGGAGCCTGAGGACAGTGTCCAAAAGCACAACATCACTATTAATCATAAAACACCTCAAGTTATTTGAAAGTTCTGAGGACAAAGAACACACAAACACACAATGCCTCAGTGATTCACAGAAGTATATCACAGATCACAGAACTATATCAGGGTGTCATTTCTCAGGCAGAAATGTAGATAAAAATAATGAAATCCTGTTCCCCAAACAAGTGCAAGAACCACAGAGTCAAGAATAGGTTAAATATACAAATAAAATAAAATCAATTAAAAACAATAGCACATCAACATAAAAACATATAAACATAAATCTGAAAGCGTTGCTCAAACTCCCGTAACAGTCCCGTTATTTTATCTTTGAACCGCTTCATGTCTGCCACATGTTGGGTCACGCACACATTTTTCAGACAGGGGAAGTGAGCTGCATCACCACCGGCAAGTTGCGTCTCCCACAATGACAGCTTCAACTTGAAAGAACGTATGCTGTCATAATACTGCGTGACAACTTTGTTGCGCCCTTGCAGCTGTTTGTTCAAGTTATTCAGGTGCTCTGTAACATCCACCATAAATGCAAGGTCCTGCATCCATTCTGCGGAATGAAATTCTAACACTGGTTTGCCCTTTTCTTCCATGAACTGTTCAATTTCTTCTCGTAAATCAAAGAAACGCCTCAGCACAGCACCTCGGCTTAACCATCTTACCTCAGTGTGGTATGGCAGGCCATAGATGTGGTCTTTCTCTCTGAGAAGGCTGTCAAACTGACGGTGATTCAGGCTTCTGGATCGGATGAAATTAACAGTTTGGATGACCACCTTCATGACGTTATCCATCTTTAATGACTTGCAACACAAAGCCTCCTGGTGCAAAATACAGTGAAAAGTCAAAAAATCACGTCCTCCATTTGCAGATTGCACTTTCTCTCTGAACTTTGTCACAACGCCTGCTTTTTTCCCGATCATTGAGGGCGCACCATCTGTAGCCAGGCTGACAGCGCGGGACCAGTCCACTCCGACCCTGTCCAGCGCGCCGACGAGTGCGGTAAAAATATCAGCTGCTGTCGTTGTATCTGTCATCGGCACCAACTCCACGAAACTCCTCGGTGACGGTCAATGTGTCATCAACTCTGCGGATGAAAAAATGGCCAGTTGTGCAACATCTGTAATGTC